TGCAATGGGAAGATTGGGCTAAGCGTACGTCTCACTCTCCTGAACATCCTGAGCCTCCTCGAGACCCTCGCGGATACTGGATCGAACCCGTCGCGGCCATGATGAACGCCGCCGAGGACGCCACCACATGGAATCTCAGTCCACAGGCTCGAGGTGCGTTGCGATCTACGGTCATCGGTGCCCAATGGTCTCAGCTGCGGCTTCACAAGATGGGATACTCGGGCACATCATCCTGTCAGCGCTGTGGACAGACTGGGGATCTGCATCACCGATTCTGGAAGTGCTCCTATCACTCAGAGGCCCGATCGCGTGCGGTGGATGAGGAGCTGGTTGAGATGGCAAAGAGGTCGCATGTGGCGGATCCCTTTTTCACTCGTGCTCTCATGCCCAGGGCGATGCTGCCCGACATCCCGCCGCCTGTGGATTCACAACGGTGGTGGTATTGCATGGGAGGTCAGGCTATGGACATCACGGGCACTGTCTACACGGACGGCTCTGCGCAGTGCCCGCTCTACTGGCCTGAGGCCAACCGTGCTGGTTGGGGACTGGCCATCCTTGCGGGGCGCCGTCTCAAGGGCATGGCGTTCGGGCCCTTGCCAGGGCCCATGCAGACGGCCCAACGCGGGGAGCTGTACGCCGCGCTGCAGGTTCTCCGACACGGACGGCTTCCTCTACATATCAAGACGGACTGCCTTGGCTTGGTCGAATCGCTGAAGTACGGAGAAGCTCATTGCTGCCACGTCCGCCGTGACAACGCGGACCTCTGGCGGCTCATCTGGAGGGCGATCAATGATCATGGAGGCATCTCAGACTCGCTCAAGGTCACATGGGTAGCAGCCCATCAGACCCTTGCCGAGGCAGGCGCCGACAGTCTAGACAAGATCGGCAACGACTTCGCGGACGTGGCGGCCAAGAAGGGGACACGGCTGCACGGCGTCCCGTCGGTGGCCTACGAGGAGCACGGGCGCCTCCTCAAGGCGGTCAGGCAGACTGCGGGCTGGATCGGCGCCGCCCAGTCCTCCGCCATCATGCTGGCGGACCGCGTGGAGGTCCAGGCGCGGCGGCAGCGCTGCACCAGCCGTCGTGGAGACGGACGCGCTCCTCAGGCGGCTGAGGCGGGCAGCCAGCCGCGTGGCGCGGCCCCTGTGCAGAGTGGAAAGTCTCACTCTCCCATCCTGGCCACCGTGGGGTGGCGATGTGCTCACTGCCCTCGGTTCGCGCGAAACGCCAGAGGCCTCAGGAGGCTTCAACGTGAGGTTTGCCCTGTGAGGGCTTTTCGGGCCCCCCCAGCCGACGCCTCCCTCGGGAAGCGGCAGCTGGGAGTCCTGGAGACCTCCGAGGTCTCCAGTTCGAAACGGCGTCGGACGGCGGCCGAGGAAGGCCCCCCGCCGAGCCTGGAGCGGGTCCCCCAGGATGATGGCGACTCGCGGGGACTTCGAAGGCGGCGGTCTCACGACGGCGATGGGGATTGTCTCAGGGGAGTTCGGCCTCGTGGGACCCCTTCCCTCGTTTCGACGGACCCCTCCTCGTCCTTCGGAGCCCCCACTGCAGCTGAGGAGGAAAGCCGTCCTGGGTCCGAGGGAATGGCACGTGGTTTGTGGTCTTGCACCCCATCCCCCCGTGTCCCCTCCCCTCCTCGCCCTCGACCTCTCTTGGACCTCCCCTCCTCCTCCTCCGCCTCCCCCGCTGCTGCGCCGCCGCCGCCTGGGCCCTCTGGTCGTTTTTCGCGGGTTTCGTTTGCCGAGGGACCTGATGCCCCCGAGAGGCCTCAGGAAGTTGTTCAGGTGGCGGCGCAGGCGGCTAGCTCTCGGGGTGTCAAGCGCGCGTCGAAAGGGGCGCCCCCCTCCCGAGCGGCGGCGACGGTCCCTGTGGCCCCTCTCCCGCGCTCGGGAGAGGTCCCCCCCGAGAGCGCGAGGGGGCACACCCTGTACTTGTCTGGGGATCTTGTGGGGTGCAGCCAATGCGGGGCCTTCTCGGCCAGGACGGCGAGGACCCAGCTGTTCTGGGAGTGCGACCCCGAGGCCGCCCTGACGGGCAATCCCCAGCGTAAGTGGCGGAGGGACAATTTTATGAAGGGCATCCACCCGAAGGGGAGGGTGTCCCAGGCCATCGTGCCACCACGCAGGCTGCTGGTCACGGACGTTGCGGTCCAGTGGCTAGGCCTACTCTCAATTTCGTGAGCCCCCTTGGGGCTCTCTTGGGACGGGGGCCTCGTTGGCCCCGTCTCGGGTGTCTGGCGTTCGGCCCTGGGCACCTCTCGGGTTCGCTTGGCGTGGCCGTGAAGCCTCGGCTGGGCTCTGAGCGCCCTGGGGACCCGAGTGTTTTTGTGATCGATTGCGCCCTTCTCTGCTTTTCCCGCCGCCGCCGCCGCCTCTCTTTTGCCTGCACTCCGCGCGTCGCTTCATGGGGTCGCGACTCCTCCTCCTCCTCCTCCTCCTCCTCCTCCTCCTCCTCCCCCTCCTCCCGCTTTCGCCGCCTCCCGCACCGAAAAGGGAGCGGGCGGGTCCTGCAGGGAGAGGGGCGCCTGGCAGGGTCCATTTCGATCCGATTCGAGGTTCTAGGTGTTCGAGGCTTTCTAGGAGGGCCTCTTGAGGCTCTCGTGGGGCTTTCTGGCG